TCTAAGTTCCTCCATTTAGGGGGTTTGTGATTTCTTGACAAACAGATGTTAGAATTAGCGCAATTTCTGGGCCCAAGCCTTAACAAACTGGTAGTTTCCACTCTTGGATGCTTACTTCTGAAAACCAGTTGCCATACTGTGAGGAAGCCCAACCTGCCCAGTGGAAAGGAAGTGACACCCAGTGCTTGTTTGCCAGTGGTGTAAGTGATCCACCTTAGAAGTACGTAGATCCTCTAGCCCTAGCTGAGCTGCTGTGGCTGATATTCTTGTAAACCGAGATAAGGTATCCTCATGGAGCCCTGCCCAAATTACAGATTTTGAGTAAAAGAAATAATTGTTTTGAACCATTAAGGTTTGGAGTGGTTAACACCAGAGGAATGGTGTTAGTTATTGTTCATAGGACCAGGTTACGCAGGAAAATGTAAAAATTAAATCAGTTTGGGCTGTAGGTCAGCATCTAGATAGTCAAGGCACAAAGGAAGGAAGAAATAGAAACATGAGTCAAGGCAAAATAAATTTCAAAATCTAGAAAAATAGAGTAATCTAGGTGGGTCACATATGCACTCATGATTTGGAAGATCAGGCAAGAAACAGAACATGTATCAAAAAGTCTGGATACATAAAACCATCCCAAAGAGCCCTTGTTATGTTACAGTGGGGTTAAGGACAGAAAGACTATTATAGATACTGAGTCAAATTACTCCAAGGGTGAAATTTCATGATTTTCTTTTCTTTCAGTACCGGGGATTGAACCTATGGCCTTCACACTGAGCTACATCCCCAGCCCTTTTTATAATTTATTTCAAGACAGGATTTTACTGAGTTAGTCAGCTGCCCAGTCTGGGCTCAAATTTCTAATCTACTTGCCTCAGCCAGAATGCTGGGATTATAGGTGTGCACCACCATGCTTGGGTTCCACAATCTTTCATTAGTGTTCAGCTCAGAAAGAAAAGCACCCGTGGGCATGGTGGTGAATGCGTGTAGTGGGAAGTTCATGTGGAGGATCACTTGAGCTCATGAATTGGTGATCAGCTTGGGCAATGTAGTGAGACCTTGCCACAACAATAAAACAAAGACAGGGAAGAGTGTTCAACGATGGTACAAACTAAGAGGCACTTCCCTTTAGCTCATATAACTAGGGAGTATTCTAATCCTTTGAGTATATATAAATGAACAATCTGGTAATCCGAGCAACTACTTTGAAGATGAGAATACGTAATATAACAACTGTTGTTAATTTCCTATCATCTTGTTTTGAAATTCTGTATTAGTCATTAGCAAGAGCACTAAAATACTTATGTGTGTTTTTGCAGATTGTTCATGATTTTCAGAGTTGATCTTATTGGATTAGTTACTCCTCTGCTTGAAGGTTTTTCCTTTTCTGGTTTTATTCTAAAAGTAACTTAGACTACAACTAACTTCTTCAGATGGTAGGAACTTCACCCTCTTTGCTTATCTTCCCAACTTCATTTCCTGTTATTCTTTCCCAGGCTTACTGGGTTCCAGACCACTAGTTTTCTTTCAGGGGCTGGAAAATGCTGGGCTTTCTTGTAGGTCAAGGGGGTGGCACATACTCTTCCTTGACTGGCACATACTCTTCCTTGACTGGCACATACTCTTCCTTGACTGGCAGGCATTTTAATTCACTATTCCTGGATAGCTTCTGCTCATTTTCTAGGCCTGTTTTAACGTTGTATCTTCAAAGGTCCCTAAACTCACTTGTTTCTTCCCTAGTTTTTTCTCTCGTTTTAATGATAATTGTAATTGTGTATTTATGTTTTTAAAAAGCTGTGAAAGGCTGGCCTCTGACATCATGGTTTTTTCCCCATGACTGAAGGTGGGGAAGAGGAAAAGGAGTAAACTGACAGAAAGCAGAAAAGGCAGGTAAAATGGAAAAAATGAAAAATACCATTTAAAGATTTAAATAGCAGTCTAAAGACCATTTGGTGAAGGGCCAAGTGCTTACTGCAGCTAAATGGGTCTTGATGGTAAGTGTAAAACAATGAACATTCTCTTCAAGACAGGTCAACAAATTCTAGGATGAACAGGCACTGGAGATATAGCCTAAGGGCAGCGTGCTTGCCTAGCTTGTGCAAGGCTTTGGGTTTGATCCCAGCACAGTAAAAATGTTAAATATACTACAAGTTTCAGCAGTTCCACTCCTATGTGTATGTCTAAGACAAATGAAAACATCTGTACATAAAAACTCTGCCAAGGGTTTACAGTTGCATTTTTTGTAACAGCCAAATAATGAGTGGTATACCCATACAAAGGGATATCTTTTTCTTTTAAAGATGATCTCACAGGCTGGCTTTCCATTTTCAATCCTCCTGCCTCAGCCTCCTGAGTGCTGGAATTATAGGTACCACACCTGGCCCCAAAGGGCTATTATCTGATTATAAAAAGATAAAATACATGCAATAATACAAATGATCCTTGAATACATACTAAATGAAAAATGCCCAGCAAAAGGCTATTCATATGGTTTACATGGATGTCCAGAATAACAAACCTATACATACAGAAATCAGACAGTGGTTGCCTAGGGCTGGTGGCATAGGTATGGGGAGTAACATTAATGGGTATAGGAATTCCTTTTTGGAGAGATATTCTAAATTAAACTGTGGTGTTACTTGCACAACTCTGAATAAGCAGTGTGAGAAAAATACAATGAATGTTTACATTTAAAAGGCACATTACCATTAATCCCCCACAAAATACTCCCTCTCACTTTGAGCACTTATCCCATCATTCTTTGCCACTTTCTGAAGCAGTTCTGGAAATCCTCTTTCAGGAGTATCTTTAATTGCATTGTTTTAGCTACTTTATTGTCATGAATTGATTATAAACGTTTACCTGTCATAGTCATTTTGACTTTGGGGAGGAGCCAAATCTGGTGAAACAAGTGCAAGAGGACACACACCATGGTTTTATGGGCTTGCCTTTTGTTGGATGGCAATCAACAGCAGCATTCACTATAGCTTTGATCACACGTCGTAAAGACAATCCAGAGTCCTCTGCCAACACAGTAAGTGATTAAGGTTAGTTTTGTTTTGTGTACTGGGGGTTGAACTGGGGTCTGAGCTATGGCCCCTGCCCTCTTTAAAATAGGGTCTATGTTGCCCAAGCTGGACTTGAACTTGCAATCTTTCTGCTTCATCCTCCCAACAGCTTGGATTACAGGTGTGCACCACCATACTCAGCTTCAAAAGGTATTTTAAGTATTTCCAAGTGAGAAACACTGACCTACTGGTGCTCACATGTGCAAGCTGTACTACTTCCCATATACTGTATTCATTAACATGCTTTTGCATCCTAGCGTCTAAAAACTTTAACTTTCAATGGAATTTAATTAAAAAAATTATTTTGTGCTGCTGGGAATCAAACCCAGGACCACGTTTGCTAGGTGAGTGCTCTACTACTGACCTATAACTCTTTAACTTCTAAAATTTTGTCATGTTTGCCTTCAAAGTTATTTTCTTCCCCTTTAGAATGGATTTCAAGCCTCAAATTCTCTTAAAAGATACATCAGTTCTTGTTCAGTTTCTTACAAGAGGCTTTTGTTAAATTTAGAAATTTTTAGATAAATTAAGTGTTTTAGGTTATTAGTAACATAATTTGGCAGAGGGAGCTAAGCCATAAATATCAAATTACTATTACAGATCCTTGTTTGTGAATTTGAATAAGCTTAGTCAGATACCAGAATCTGGCTACAAAACAGTACTTTTGGGTCAGTATTTATACCCCTTTCTTTGTAATTAGCAGTTCTCTCTTTAAAAAACTGTTCTTTGATTGCAATTGGCAAAAAACACTTGGGGCTGACTGATTAATTTGAACTGCCCAATTAAAACAGCGGGGCTCGGTAGACCCCTTTATTCATCAACTTTACAACTTTAAGCTCTGCAATACTGTGGGGATCTTCAGCCTCTTTGATCTCTCATAATAACTTGAATACAATAGACTTTTTAGTCTTTTCATCCTACCACCCCAAACCCCATGTCAGATTTAACCGGCTCTTTCTGCCCAGAAACCAGGCCAATTAATTTTCTATGTGGATCTCAGATGTTTTGAAGTTTTATCCTTCAATACCACTATTCTTCTGTATGTGGTGGCAATTCCTGTTTTTCCCGCTGTCCACAGTCGGCTTAATCTCCTCGTTTTGAAGTAGCAATAACCACTAGGAATTAGTGGCACATTAAACCAGAGCCTAGCTCCATCGAAACAAGAGCCCACCCCACTGCTACTGATGATCAAAAGCAGACTACAATTTGCTTGCCAGCATTTCTTATTACACAGGTTTATAATTGTTCTCTTGCTAGTTTTAAAAATAGACAATTTTAAGCTGGGAGTGGTTGTACATGCCTGTAATCTCAGCACACTAAAGGTTAAGGCAGGAGGACGATGAGTTCCAGGCCAGCCTGGGGTACAAAACAAGTCCCAGTCTCCCCAGCCAAAAGACTTCAAAACAGTGTGTATAAAAATACCATAATCATTTTGAAACATGAAAATACAAACCACAATAATTTCAATTCGGACAGATTCTTGAAAGTTTTTATTTATATTTTGGCTTTACAGGTATAATTTTTAAACATGACTTTTTGGTAAGAATATAAAATACAAAAATTTGCCAAACATCAGATCTACACAAATTCTTAGAAAGATTTTCTGTGTAGCCCTCATTAATGCAAATTTTTGTTACCATTTCATTCTTACTATAGATTTTCGATATTTCATAATAAAGCTACAAAGTTTTACACAGTACAACTACTATAAACTATACATAATATTTCCATTAAAAAGAAAGTTGGGCAATACAAAAATAGGAGAGGGTCTAAGGAGTAGGCAATCTGTTGAGGCTTGGTATATCTGATTTGCTTTGTAGTTTTCCGTGATTACTTTCGGAAAACAGATTATTCCAGTACTTGAGTAATAATCTCCCTCATTAGCCAACCTAATTTAAAAATCTGTTGTTTATAAGACTGGACCAATGATCAAAAACTATCATTTGCATAATTAACCACAAAACTGTTACAAAGCACTTCTGTTAGTGGTATCAACAAATGCATAACAGAAATTTATTAAAATACGAGTTTTGTTAATTGTGTTAGCTCCTTAGATGTCATGGACTGTACTGCCACTTTAACTTTTAGTTATGTTTAATGCCCCGCTGTAAAATAATGGAAGCAAGCAAGAGTAAATTCTTTTCTAGGTGCTGCAATATTTCATTTGATAACAAAAAGACAGGACAAAATGTAAGCAAGATTTATATGCGTTCCAACTTTTCACTCAGGAATTCTTCTACACTGTCTGTGTTCCATTTCAGGATGCTTAGCTCTTCGGCAATGTTCCCATTATCGTCCAAAAGCTTTAGCACAGGGTCTGAACCACGAACGTACTACAAAAAAGAGGGATATCATCACTTTTTTCTACTTAGAAAGAGCCCTCTCAGTCTCACACAAGATCAAACAGATTATTAAATGTAATAGTAATAACAAAGCATTTAGATGTAACATCACAATCAATAAGTCTTTAAAGATGTTTTTCAGAAAATTAAATATGATTTAATAACAAATGAGAAGGAAAAATATAATTTTACTTTTACAGAGAAAAATATCTATTGGTATCAAGATATTTTATTTGGGATGTAAGTTTATTATTGAATGTAAAAAATATTTATTACATATGATTCTCTCAAACTCAAATGAGTTTAAAGATCTAATGGAGGCAGACCAAAATAATGAGACAGAATAACAGTATAAGAACAATATTTTGAAATAGGTCTGCATAAAAAATATCAAACATTGAATCCCATACTGGATCATTAATTTTCCTTGGCTTAAGAAACCTAATGATTTTGTTGTAATCAGTATAGAATGAAGCCGAATTCCTGAAACTTCAAACCCATTAGCTCTAGCCAATAGAGAGCTCTGAGAAATTCTAACTCTGGATAAATATGAAAACAAACATTATCTATTAAAAGAATAAACCTCTGATTTTAAATTACATAGAACCAGATAACTGAAAATGTGCCAGTGATGAAAACTTCTTCAACTGTTACTACTTCTGTTGTCTTAGGTTCTCTGGAATTGGGAATTCCAGCAATAGAGGTAAGTTCTGCTATAAATTATTAGCACAGATATATTCCCAACCCATTCATGGAGTACAGAAATACAGGCTCTTTGGGCTAGTGAATGAATGAGTGAGTGAATAAATGAATGAAACATCACCACCATATTACTTCCACATTTCTGCTCAGGTTACCATATAAATTGTTTTTAAAATTTTTTTCACTTATTCAAAAACTCACTCTAATCCAAAATATTAACAAGCTAAGTAGAATACAGTTGTAAAAATCTTCCACAAAATACTAGCAAATAGAATCCAACAATGTAGAAAAGAAATTATATACTATGACAATGTGGATTTATTTCAGATATATAAGATTGCTGCAAAATTTGGAAAGTAACTGTTAGTCCATTACTATTAATAGGTTAAATCAGGAAAAAAAATCATATAATCATATTAATAGATGTACAAAAAGCATCTGACAAAAACATTCATCACCCATTCATGATAAACACTCTCAGCAAACTAGGAATAGAGGGGACCTCTTCAATTTAAAGGGGGGGGGAAGCTCAGAAAATTATACATAATGGGGAAAAAACTAGAAATTTTCCCCATAAGAGAGTAAGTCAAGAGCGCCCCTGAGCACTATTTTAACTCAACCGTGCTGGAAGTCCTAGCTAATGTACTAAGTGAAACAGACATCATGTATACTGGTTGGGAAGGAAGAAATAAAACTTTGTTCGCAGATGTCACGATTCTCTAGAAATATCCCAAAACATCAACAAAAAAACTTATGGATTATAGCAAGGATGCAGGATACAAAGTTAACATACAAACATCAATTGCTTTTCTATATATCAGTCATGAACAGCTGAAATTTGAAATTAAAAACGTAACACTATTTACACTAACAACTACTAAATTTTGGATCTTAAATATCTCCAAAGGCCCATATGTTAAATCTTTAGGCTCCAGCATGACGCTACTAGAAGGTAGTAGAACCTTTAAAGAGATGGGGCACAGGAGGAGGTCTTTCAGTCAGTGGGAAGATGGACTCCAATTTTTTCCTATCTTTTTTATTCCTGGTGATGAGGTGAACAGCTTCGTTTTACAATGTATGTGCTCCAGCTGTGATGTGCAGCCACACACCCAAAGCAATGGTGACAACTGTCACAGACAGAAACCTCCAATATTGTGTGCCAAAATAAACCTCTCTCTCTGTATAGTACTGGGGACTGAACCCAGGGCTTTCACTGAGTTATATTCCCTGCGCTTTTTGTTTCTTTTTGAGACAGGCTCTCTTGAAGTTGTCCAGGTTAGCCTTGAACTTCCCCAAAACACACACACACACACACACACACACACACAGGAAAGAAATTCTTAGGACAAAATTATGATACAAAAATCAAGGAAGATCTAAATATAAAGATACTTCATTTCTCATTTAGGAAGACTCAATGTGGCCAGAAGTTTCTCCCAATTTGATCTATAGATTCAACGTAATCCTAATAAAAACTTTGTCAAGTTATTCTGTGTAAAATTGGTTCTAAAGTTTATACACAGAATATCTCAATAGCCAAAACACTGAAGGAAGAGAACAAAGCTGAAGGACTCAGACTACTTCACTTTAAGACTTAAGAAGTTCTAGTGGCATTGGTCAACAATTACATAGATCAACAGAACAAAATAAGAGGCTCTCAAGTAGAACTACACAAATACAATTAATTGGTCCTTGATAAATAAGCAAAGGTAACACAATGGGGAAAAACAGTCTTTTCAACAATGCCAGAACAAATGGAAATCCCCATGCAAAAACCCAAATCTAAACACAGATCTTATGCCTTTTACAAAATTTAATTTAAACTAGATCACAGACCCATCTGTAAAACACAAAACCATAAAACTCCTAGAAATCTGGGTGACTTTGGGTTTCTCAATGAGCTTTTAGATATAACTTTGAAAGCATAATTCATGAAAGAAAAATACTAAGTTAGATTCATTAAAAGGACCTGGGGTGGGGTACTGGAGATTAAACCTAGAACTTCATACATACTAGGTAAGCGCTCTGGGCTATATCCCTCAGCCCTCAAAGGAAGACACTGTACTTTGTCAAACACATGCTTAAGTAAATGAAAGAAGGCTACAGACTGAGAAAATCTTGGCAAAACACACCTCTCATAAAGGACTTAGATTCAAATTATTCAAAGAATTCTTAAACACTGGCAAAAAAACCTCCCCAAAACAAATTTTTAAAAAGTGGAAAAATAAGGAAAGGAGACAGATAGGACACAAAAATTTGAAAGCTTCTGTATATTAAAAGAAACAGTGAACAGAAAGGAGAAAATATTGGCAAATCATATACCCGACAAGGGTAATCCAGAATATATAGAGAACATTACAACTCAACACCCAAACTCCCAAATGCCCCCATTAAAATATAGGCAAAAGATAATGCTCCAGGCCATACAAATGGCCAGCAAGTAAATTAAAACAACATACCATCAGAATGGCTGAAACTTCAAATAGATACAATAACTAATGCTGGAGCTCCACATGTGGAGCAAGAGGAACTCCTACTTATTGCCAGTACAAATGTGATTTGATACATCACTTTGGAAGAGTTTTGTAATTGCTTACTAAGTTAGACAATTTTAATTGTATAATCCAGCAATCATACGCCTGGGTATTTACTAAATGAGTAAAAAAACTTCTGTATACACAGAAGCTCTATGGTTTGCAGTAGCTTTAGTATTTTATAATCATCAAAAATTGCAAGCAAAATAGATGCCCTTCCACAGATGAATAAAAAAATAAAATGGCAGCACAGAATACTGTTCTGCAATAAAAAGAAGTTATTAAAACATGGAAAAAGATCATGGAGAATTTTATATGCATATTGTTAAGTGAAAGAAACCAATCTGAAAAGGCTATATGTTATATGATTACAACTATGTGACATTCTGGAATAACTAGAGACAGGAAAACGATCAGAGCTGCCAGTGGCTGTGAGGGGAGAGAGGGATGAGCCACACTGTGGCATACAGGGGAATTTTAGAGCGGAGAAATTATTCTGGATGATACTATAACAGCAGATACAAGATACAATTCATTTGGCAAAACTCCTAGAATTATACAACACAAAGGGTGATATCCAATGCAAACCATGGAATTTAGCTAATGCATGAAGATTACTTCAACAATGTACCACATCAATGGAAAATACTATAACCTGGGAAATTGAGGGTGAGGATGAGGGCCAAACAGTCAATGGAACCATTCCACTTTCTGTTTTCCTGTAAACCTAAAACTGTTCTAAAAATAAAAAATCAAGTTTATTAATTAAAAAAAAAACCCTCATACTTATTTCAATTCAGAAAGACACAAAGTAACACTGAGAAAATCTTACCTTGATCTGCAGTCCTCTGAATAGTTTGGGCTTATCACTTCTGACGAAAGCTAAAAAGAAAACCGATTTAAACTTTACATTGAAATTTAAGCTAGCTACAAAGATCAGTATTTTTTTTTTTTTGGTTTTTGGTTTTTCTCCAGTACCGGGAACCGAACTCACGACCTTGCGCTTGCCAGGCAGGCGCTTTTGCCGCTGAGCTAAATCCCCAGCCCCCAAAGATCAGTATTAAAGGTGGACATATACTTAACAAATGAAACATTGTGTCTAACATGGAAAAATACAAATAAAGTTAATTTAAACAGATAACTAATAAATGTGAATAAATGGAGAGACACCATATCTTCAACAGAAAGACTAAATATTTTAAGACACTAATTTTTCAAATTAATCAAACCCCAAATTCCTATGGGAGTTTTAGAGTTTAACAAAATGATAATATAGCTCAGTTGTAAAAGATTTTGGAATACTAAAGATTAAAGCAGGAGCAGGGAGAAAGATTTTGCTATGGGTCAGTTATGGGACAAAACACAAACTTTGTTTCTGAAGGGTATTTAGGAAAATTAACCAGAGGTCTTAAAAGGTACATTGCCTTTAAAACTACTAGTCTATTCCTAGGACTTTCTTTATACTGAAGAAAGAATTGATATAAAGAAACTATTGTTTAAGGTCCTGATAAAATATGAAAAACTCTATGTATATTTTTTTCTTCCCCCATCCCACTTGCTCTTGCCTTTTGAGTAGTTTCCTTCCCTTTCACAGTATCTATTGTACCTTTCGGATTTTATTCACTCTTTAGGTTCTTACACTAGGGAGACAATATGATGTTTACACAAGCAAGTCTGATTTATTTTACTTATGAATATGGTCTCTAGTTGCATACATTTACCTATAAAAGCCTGCAGTTTATCCTACAAAATAGCCCAGATAATTATAATACTAATTTCCATTAGTTCATTGAAAGGAATGGTTTGTGCTTATATTGTTTGATCAGTTTTGCATGCCTATATTTTGTAATCTGAGTAGCTACTTTGAAGAAAACAATATGTAATATAAACAACCAGTGTTAATTTTCTATTATCTTGTTTTGAAAGTCTGAATCATTGTTTTTTATTTTTTTTAAATAAAAAATATGGAAAACTGGAAATAAACTAAAGGTGTGAAAGGTTAGTGGTTGGGTAAATTAACATGTACCAGGGGCTGGGGATTTAGCTCAGTGGCACATCGCCTGCCTGGCAAGCACAAGGTCATGAGTTCGATTCCCGGTACCGGAGAAAAACCAAAAACCAAAAAAAACCCCCCCATGCACCAATCATTAAAAATCATGTTGACCTTTTCAGTACTTAGTACAAACACCTCTGATATATAACTACTGTAATGATTTGTAGCAGACTGCTGATCAGTTTAGTTTGTTCCCTATGGTTGTTAAGAAAAGGATGGATATTTATCCATTTTCATTACAAATGAAAAAAAAAACCCTGGAAGCATTAAGTAAAATCTTTTAAGAATGCTATAATTATTTTAATGAAGGCTATACCTGAGGAACAGATTAGTGGAAATTTTAAATGTACGTGTCTAATTGTTCAAATTAAAAAGTTTGTATTTTTCAAAAATAAATGATTCATGTTTCTGTCTTATTTTTTGTCTTTTTGAGACAGGGTTTCACTATGCAGTTCAGGCTGGCCTTGAACTCACTTTGTAGCCCAGGTCGGCCTGGAACTTGTGATTCTCCTGCCTGAGCCTCCTGAGTGCTGGGATTACAGGTTTGTGCACCATGCACAGCTTTTTTTTTTTTTTTTTGAGATAGGTCTCTTTATGTAGTTCAGGGTTGCCTTGGACTCAGTACGTAGCCCAGGCTGGCCTCAAACTTATGATGGTCTACCTGATAGTTTTTAATACCAGCCTGATAGTTTTTTAATACCAGGTTTTTAAATCACTTCCATAAATTTAATCTTAAGATTTTTAAAGCAACACATGCTTTGGAGAACTTATTTTTTAGTCTCAGCATGACATCCATTTATACCTGTCATTTAGTACAACAAAATAAGGACTGTAAACGGTCTTTATTTATTTTTAAGGATTTTTTGTAAGATATTTAGATAACCAATCTAATCTTCCCCTGCAAATTTAGTTTAAAATAAAATTTATTCTGGCTGATGAGAGTATTTTTTCTATTAACTTCATCCTTTAGGACTACATGTTTACTCTGTTAAGTTCTGAATTCCTAAAGGAAGTGATCTTAGGATACCTTCTTGCATTTTAACTGTTTGGCATGCCTATGTAAAACACCATCTAACACACTTTAACTGTGTTAATTGACCTTTCCCCTAACAAATCTCTCTCTGGGAAAAGAACTACTCTTAAATCTTTATATTCAAAACAGTGCTTAGCCCATTTAATAATTTTAATTCATTCAACAGACTTAATATGCTCGGATGAGTGAACCAATTTAAAAGGAATACTAAGATAAGTCATAATGACTATATTCACCAGCTCCTTTTTTCTCTGCTAAGTATAGATCCATAAGCAACATAATTTTGAATGAAGAAAAGTATCTATTAAATACCTTGTAGCCAAATCACATTTTACAAGCAGTAAATGAATTTTTTAACAAATATTTGAGGACTTAAATACACATGGCATTGGACAAGGCTATATGAGAATGTGAAGAAATGGAATTCTTTAATTTCAAGAAACCTACAATAAAGCATGTATTTAGAATATAACAGGCCCTGGGTTCAATCTCCAGCACCAACCGAAAAAAACGTGTTAATTTTTCCTTCTCTTTTTGTTTGCACTGCCAGGGATCAAAACCAGTAGAGCTTCAAGCACAGAAGCTAATTCAAATGCTATTAATTTAACGAAAGATAGTAAGTAGTTTGATCTCAGAAAAAGACTTTATTATGTTGGGATGATAAAGAAGTAGGACTGGAGAACCAAAAGTTTAAAAATTCACTTGCATGCAAAAAAGTGTTCTTCCTTCAACATAACCTAAAGGAGGCAAAAAGATTGTATCTCTTAATATTTCAAACACTTTATTCCTAAAATTTGAATTTGATATAGTCAGCTCCAAATGCTTTGCCTAAGAGAGTGAGCTGAAAAAAGCATGGTAAAAACATATCCTAAGAAACTCAACAGTATCATTGGTAGTCAGCCAGTCAGAAAAAAAAAATTTCCTAAAGTCCACTGACTTTGGTCTCCCCTTTAGTTTTGAATGTAGTAATATATTTAATTTCTCAATGTAACAATATTGTACAGCACAGTTAGGTATGTGGGATAATTCTCATCATGATTTACAAATTATAAACAAAATCATGATAGTGAATTTTTAAACATTTTATAAGACGTTTTACATGTTTTAATAAAATGTTTGGTATTTGAGTATTGTTATTTGGTATAATCTTCTGGCTTAATGATTACTCATTATAATCAAATCTAATGTGCTCTACAGCTGCCTGAGTAGTTAAATATGCAAATAGCAAATGAAGTCCAGGAAAACAAATGATGGGGTTCCGGCATCCTTTCAGGATGTACTTTTGCTTTTTTTCATTTAAAAAATTCTTGGAGAGCAGGCGCCTGGGAAGATGCGCCGGCCCTCGGGCCGGCCCCCAGCTGCACAGGCGACCGGGAAGCAGCAGCAGGCGCCCAGGAAGCGGCGCGTGGTACATGCCGACCCTCAGGCCAGCCACTGCTGTGCAGTCGAGAACTATCATGCCACAGGGAAGTACCGACACAATCGGCCTGCCTTGCGCCCCGCGGAGGCCCGCCCGGGAATGTGCGTGAACCATTCTGACATGGAGAAACCCCTGGGAAAACATGCCACACATCGGGTCACTTTTGGTCCTGACCTCGAGAACCAAGAAAGGTCAGCAGTCAGCGGAGGAGCAGCTGATGAACAAGGACTCGGAGAACACAAGAGCACCGATGCCTGACCACTCAGAGGTCGAGATGAGGGAGGACGCCAGAGCCGTTGGGGAGCTGGAAACCAGGAGGATCTTGCGCAACACCTGGGGAGACCCCCTGGAAGCCATTCTCCCCCTGACTGCACAGGCTGCGGTGAAGGAGAACGTGGAGCTCCAGAGAGGTCTGTACCAAGACTTCATGGATTACGTGGGTGCCCAATATTCAGATTCTGAACAACCGCCTTCATGGAGAAGGGACGTGTCTAGGTTACCTGCCTGGGACACTGCATCTGATGGTGCTGAGACTGACTAGTGGGCCGAGGACTTCACCCACATATTCCTGCCACCTCTGTGTTAACAGTCGGGAAGATGACACTAAGTGGTTGCGGGGTCCCAATGCGCTGGGAGGCTGGAGAGATGACTGGCCTGGGTGCTCCCTTGACGGCTGAGATGGAGGCCCAAAAAAAAAGGGAACACCCCTTGGCTTTCTTCGATCGCTTACAAGAGGCATTGATAAAGCCTACTTCCCTGGATCCCAGTTCAGTACAGGGACAAATTATTTGACGACTACATTCATCTGCTACCGCTGCCAAAAGCCAAGCCACCTCAAGAAGGACTGCCCTAAGAAGCCCCCTGGGCCATGCCCTGACTGTAAAGGTGACCACTAGAGATCAGACTGCCTCTGAAGCGACGGCCCCAGAACTCAGACCCTCCTACCCGCTGGTCCAACAGGAATGAAGGGGCCCTGGGCATACTCTGCCTTCTCCCTCCAGCCAGACCATCATCTCCATGGAGGAGCCCCGGGTAAACATGACTATAGAGGAAAAAGTAAACAGCCCATTGCTGGACACTGGTGCTAGTTAGTCTCTCTTGGTCCTTCTTTTCAATCCTGGCCTTCCTTCCAGCCTTCACACCTCAGTGAAAGGAGTCACTGGTGAGGAGGTAATGTGCTATTTTTCACAACCCTTAGGCTGTAACTACTTGTTAGATCTTTCTTGCATATCTCTGTTTTCCTTAGAAACCACTTTGACGATACCAAGGTATATTACAGCAGCCATTGATAATTTCCTACCAATCTGTCCTGTTTGTATTGTTCCTATGCTATTTCATAAATGGATGTATGTTTATTATTATGTGTTTCCAACAACAACCATTGAGAATAGTCAATAATTATTTAAATGATCACTCATGCATAGCTGTTTTCTCTAGAAACCACTTTGAAGATACCAAAGTATAGTACAACAACCACTGATAATTTCCTACCACTTTTGTCTGTAACTCACTATTATTTGCTATTTGTTTTCCTGAGAAACTATCTTGAAGATACCAATAGGTAAAATAACAACCATTCATAATTTCCTACCACTTTGTCTGTAATTCGGTAAGTCCCCTACTACTGTTATCCTTCTTTTACTGTTTTGTTTTTTCTTTTTTGGTCTTTTTGAGACCGAGTCTCCATACAGTTCAGGCTGCCTTGAGCTCACTTTGTAGCCCAGGCTGGTCTCAAACTCACAACGATCCTCCTGCCTCAGCCTCCTGAGTGCTGGGATTACAGGCGTGCACCACCAAGCCCCAGCTCTTCTTTTACTCTTAAAAAAAGAAAAAAAAAAAAACTTGGAAAAAAAATTTGGAAGAAGCTAGCTGGAATATTTTAACTTTTGGAATACAAGGGAAAACTTTCATCACCACTCATTATTTGGGTTTAGTGGACTCTGTTAATTTTTCCTGGTTTTGAAAGTAAATGCAACCAAAATGGGCCCATACTTTGAACACAAGTAACTATGCATTGGCTGTAATATATTAACTTGGAATAAAGCCACCTAGTAAATACTGATTTCAGATTGCAAACACATTTCTAATAAGTTTTAGCTTACTATTACTGTTTTTTTTTCCTGTACCTAAACTGTTATCTTTGATGAAGTATTTTGATGAAGATAAAATAGCCATCTTAAATTTGTAAGACATGTACTGTTAAGTGTACAAACACCAATCAGAATAATCAAGCCAATGAATTTCTCAGGTCTCAATCATCTTTTTTGGTGCTAGGAATCAAACCATGGCTTTGTGCATGCTAAGCACAAGCTGTATCACTAAGCTACATCCATAACCTATATCTTCATTTTTTCCAGTCATGTTTCTTTATTTTATTTTAATTTTTATTTCCAGTCATGTTTCTATGCAGATACTCTGGTTTGTTTACAGTTTTTGGATGGTTCCAAACTTTACCAAATAAATTTTAAACATCATAAAAGTTAAAAGAAAAACAGATTCACAAGATCTTTTAGTAAAATAGGATGGTCCAATTTCTTGTTGGATGACTACTAAGATTAACAATATCTTATTTCCTTTTTGCCTTCAGTAATATATACTGCTCACTCACTGTTATTGATTTTGAGAAAATTCATTCAAGATGTTATCAAATGAGGTTTCAGTCTGAGCTTTTGTTTAATAAATTTTACTATCATTGTTAATCTAGAGTACTACTGTCCTGAATTAAGGGAAATATTTTATATCTGAGGCTTAATATGGTAGTTTCTGACCATTTTCTTTAAACCATGTTTGGCTAGTGGCTGCCTAATTGGAAAATGAGGTCTAAAATATTTTCTCTTTGAATTCGTCTTCTCTGATATTTTAAATTATTATGAAATATTTTTGTCATTTTTCTTTTGTACCATTAGGGGCAGAAAACAAAATCTGAATTCTCAAATGTGTTCAATGAAAGTTAAAAAAAGAAAAAAACAAAATAACAATACTATACAGTGATGGGTTACATGCCAAACAATGACAAAATTGAAGAACAGTGCAATATCAATAATTCATCTTATTGTATCATCCTGCTTATAAGTTTAGTCTTTTAGTCTTTTATAGCATAACTGTAAATAACAGCTATTTAACAATACCGTAATATATCTTAGATATACAGAGCTCACCAATAAAATGTATACACACTTCAGCAGTTTGTTATACTAATAAATGTCTGGAAGGTAATGGCATGCAACTGTGCTCACTGAAAGCTTAAAGGTCTTTAAAAACAAAATTTACTATAGTATACCAATCTTCAAGAGTACAAAATTATAGGTCATTTGGGTCATCCCCAAAAGACAATGAAGTCACTTAAAAACATCTAGACAACGGCGGCTTAAATAAGGCAAGCTGGGGAGATTGAAGGTAAAATAACAAAGGCAAGACCAACAAAAATGATTGATTTCTCAGTACAAAACAATCAGATAAAGAATGTGAGAAGCCTAAAAACTAATCAAAAGTAAATACCTATGTAAACATAGGCAGATTCCCATTTCTCAAAGGGTGAGTATACCACTGAATTAGATATTCAATAAATAAATGCACTAATTCACTGAAAAACCTGAATTTCTTTTAGGAATAGTGTTTGGTAGATTTTGGGTATATTAATGATAATAAGGAGTATTTATCATAAACAATTGTAGATCAACAATAAAAGGCATGTGCTAATTTAAGAAATGTTGATACTAAACAGGAAAGAAATCATGAGGAAATCAGCAAAAGTCAAATCAAAATAAATAACATGTATTTTGATTAAGAACAAAAAGAGCTTTCTATCTTTGTATCAGTTCAGTTTTATAACACTGATTTTCAAGAGATACTAGAAGGCCTTAGTCTAAACTCTTTTAGAAATGCAAAGTCCTATCACTGTTTGATTTACATAAAAAAAACACATTTTCACAATTATCCTTTTACATATTTACCATTAAAATTCCCTGTGAAAGTATATACATTATGATTCTGTCTTGTGTATACCAAACACTATGGTATTGTAATTAATATTTTCCTTGGTCATTTGTCATGTTGTGTTGGTCTACACTCAATGCAACTGTTCCTTAGGAGTTCTATGGAAATCAATCCACACTTAAAATACTGTACATTAGAATGATATGTTAAAACATTATTATATCTGATAAAGGAAACATTATCATAAAATTTATACCTTGCAAAAGAAAGGTTATTTTAAGAAAACTACTTCATCTGTTGTATTTTAAATCTAAATTTCATACATTGTCTTTGTTTATAATAATCTAGTAGTCACTGATTACTATAAACTTTACCTCTATAAAAACAAGAAAGAAAAAAATTCACATATTATTGAAAAAGTACAATCCTAAAAATTTATATTCTTGGGAATACTTAATGAAACTGTTCTTGTGAAATGCTGATTTTAAATGATTAGTTTACTACCTACCTTGGACTTGAGGGAACCTCCCCAATTTTCATCCACAGACTTCAAGAATAGCTCCTGCATATAGCTACAAAAGGAAAAACAAGAATTAAAAAACTTGCTCTCAATTTTAAAATGTAGGTTGCAGGGGATAGCTCAGAGCTACAGAGCATTTGCCAAGCAAATAGGAGGCCCTGGGTTTAATATCCAGTACTACAAAAACAAATTTTAAAAATCCATAGCATAAACATTGGTTAAGAAGATGTGCAGTCGGGCCACAGTTCCTGTCAAACAAAGGAAGTAATGGAGGCCCAGCTAAAGTACACTCCTTTATTTGTAGTTTCAGTTAGACATGGCTAACTGCAGTCTGAAAAGTTTCCATTACATGGAAAGTTCCAGAAATAAACAATTCAGAAGTTCTAAATCATGTACTGTTCTAAATAGTGTGATGAAATCTTATTCCATCTTGCCCAAAACATGGAATCACTGTTTTGTCCAGAGTATCTAACCTATGTATGCTATCTACTAGTCACTTCATAGCTGTCTAAAATATGACTACTGTGCTATCTATCACAGGGCTTGTACTCAAGTATCCTTTATTTTATGTAAAAGTAGTAATTCTGGCAATTCAGGTATGTCAGCACACTGTTATAATCTTCTACTGTGAGTCTTGGAATGCATCCCTCATCTCGTAAGGTAAACGTTTTACACATGAGTGCCCACACTGCAACTCAAAACCCACTTATTTACTGTAAAGTGCCAACATCACAGTTAAACCTGAATACTGAGGTTTTAGCTTAGAAAAAAATTCACATTAACATCTTTTATCTTAAAAGAAAAGAAATAATACCCATGTCATAGATTTGTCACTCTGGTATATTGAATAGTAGAGGAACATAAACCCTACTTGGGAGTATTCTTATATCTACTCTAAAATACTGAAAGAGATAAGGAGACCGGACAATGAATTTTAGTAAGATGTCCTAGGAAGGTCTTCACAAAATCTTAAATTGAACAGAAGTATATACACTGTACTATACATACATAAATACCCATCTATCTAAGATAGATCCTTAATAGGAATTAGCTCAGATTGCTTTAGTATGTGATCAATGGTTTAAAATTAAAGTCTAACACCTTTTAAAAATAATTATAGGGAGTGCTATGTAAAGATGATATAGAAAAGCCAGTAAAATCTTATTATAAAGGATTCAAATATATTTTCCCTTAATGAAATTCAGTTGAAATGAATTCAATTGTAAACATTGCTTCCAGTCATAAAACCAGCACATTCTCTTTATAGTAAAAGCTTATTATAAAAAACTCAAATGCAAACATTTTATTGCAATGAATTCAGTGGAAATGGATTCAATGGTAAATACCCCTACTTCTGTTTTTGTAGCTGTAAAGCTTGCCTAATTCTTTATAAAGACAAGAACATACATGGGAATATCCTGAGTCTAAGAGAAGGCCAGTAATTTTAAAATCATAAGACATTCATTTCATTTCTTCTTAGTGTTTTTAGATTTGCTTTTTATGGAGGTTGAAGAGCTAAACAGTGATTTACTTTTAAAGCTCTAAAGTTAGCACGTAATTAAGAAAAAAAAAATCATACACACCAGGCATATTTGTTTAAAATATCTATGAAAATACAGAAAAGTACAAAGTAGAAATTTAAAAGACACTTTTAACATTGTGATAATTTTTGGCTAGATCAAGAGTTCTTCAGTTTTGAGATGTCATAGATCTTTTTGATAATCTTATAGTATTTTGTTTTATTGTAGGCTTTTCATGAATTCTCTGAAACCAGTGATGGATTTCAGGTAAGAATTATGATGACCTCTAATGCCCTTCGCAGTAATAAAATTTAAGTTGACTTAATTCTATGTAAGTTGCTTTTGTACAAAATCTGGACACTTTTGGTTGGAGAAATTGAGAAAAAAATCTTTAAAAAAAAAATACAGCCAGCTGGGCATGGTGGCACACACTTGTACTCTCCCAGCATTTGGGAGGTGACCTGAGGTCGGAGGACGGCAGGTTTGAACCCCACCTGGGCAACTTAGTGACTTAGCAAGACTGTATTTCAAAATTATAAATCACTCACTGCTGCTGCCGTAGCCCCACAACCACCACCACCCAAACACCTCCTCCCCAAAACAGTCGTATTACCAATAATGCAATGAATAGATGCTCAACATCACTAACCATTAGGGAAATAAAATAAAAGCCACAATGAGTTATTTTATATGTATTAGAATGGCTATTATTAAAAAGGAAACAAGGAAGTAGTGAGGTTGTAGAGATATTAGAAGCCTGCTATTGGAACATGAACTGTGAGAATAGCTGTATGGCAATGCGGATGAACTTAATGCCTGAACTGAACACTTAACCACGACTAAAATGATGAATTTAATGTACAAGACTACATTAAAATCTGGCTATTAATCTTTTCTTTGTGATCCTTTGAAAATTTATGTTGGAGATCCCATTACTTTACAAACTGGCATTCTCTACAACACTTTTTTTTCAATATTTTTCATATCATGACCTGTGGAAAATAGTAAAAAATGTATGAAGACTGGGGCAAAATGAGGAAACCTTATAACTGGGGACAACAGGCCTGAGAGCCTGAGTATGCCAATGCCAGCTCCCACGTGGTTATCTCAGGGACGGAGGAACTCAGTGTTGTAGCATACCACTAATCCATTCATGGCAAACATTTTCTGCACCATAAGAAAACAAGTGATTAATGAATTAAAACCAATAAAGAGATATCCTTCAACAAACAGGCAGTTCAAATGTGGCTTCCAAGAAAATTTGTATTCATTTCCCAGTCTCAGGGACTTTCTCAATCAGTGTCCACAGAACTCTGCTCACATCATAGTGCACCAGAAAGTTTTAATAACTTTTTTAACATTTAATTAATGTCAGTTAATTTCCTTCAGGATCTATTAAATATATGTACACTTAACGCAGAGAATTATTCCTTTAACAAAATTAAATGACTCTTATTTAAACATATAACTTTAAAAATATTTCAAATGAAAAACAACTCAAAATTGAATAACTACATTACTAAGCTCAAATTCTAAAAGCATTAACCTATGATACTAGTTGGTATTTTGCTTATGAATTTATAGTGCTCACAGGAAAATCTTTTGTTTTTAATGGCAAATAAATTAACTAAAGGTTGCAGCAAACTTTAAATGTCTCACAAAGTGACCAAAATCATCACTGGCACAACCACAAATGCACACACGATGAAACATATGCTATTTATAAATAATATGAATTCTCTACAGCATAAAGTATGAAAGAACTAAGAACATGTTAATACGTGCTATTCCTTGACTTTAATAGTTTCAACCTTAGCATTTTTACTTTCTTGAAGTGAACAACACATACACTGACAGAAACCTTTCAATGAAAGAAAAAAATCAAGGAAGAAGGTTATAAAATTTCTTATAGCAAATTGGAAGGCTTCTTTTTAAATACATGAGTTTTATTTGTACAGACAATCTAACTCCAGGCACTATTAGGTCATGATTTCATTAGGATTATATTATGCCACCCAAACAATTTAATGGGAAATGTTTAGCACTAGATGGAAAAAATACACAAAACTGCATATTTTGCCTTTGGACTCTTTAGGTATTTCCAACTTACTTATGATTGCCAAGTTTTCCTAAACTTCTTATACTATGTTCAAGGTGGGAAGCAGAACCAACTACCTCAGGTCTATTACTATTTTCCTTGATTTAAAAATAAGTGATTTTATTCAGTACTCTTAAGATAAACTCTAGCTTTGTAGTTAGCTGATTTCCCCCAGTTGAAATAAGTAAATTTTAAGTACCACTAAGATGTGTTTCAATGTTAGATTCTACACATCTCACACATTTTGTTACAATTTTGGAATAGCATATGACTTTTCTTGGAGAAAGACCTCTGTACTAAAAAAAACTACTAATGGAATACAATTTTCCCCTTACCCAACTGGCTAATCTCCCTTTATAAAATTTTAGCAATGATACAATAAAAGATCAAATCTTCATTTTGTGGCAATAATTTGCTGTAATTAAAGTGTCAGCTACTTTAGGTGAATCTGCAGCTACAACAGATACAGATTAACAGTGAGACAAAAAACTAGTCAATGCTGTTTCTCAATGGATAACTGGATCCCCAAATAATTTATTACAGTGAACAAAGGCAATACTTGCAGTTACATGTATTTTTTAATTACAAAGAAAACAGCATTTGTCACTTCTACCTTTGCAAACCTATAAACTTGGTTCAAGTAAAGAAATATTTTACTACTTTCCACCCTTACACATTTGATATATTTTCGTTAGTGAAAATAACTATGACTATAAAGAAATGTGACAATAAAAACTCTTGAAATAAAATATTTAAGCTGAGTCAATTAAATATTATATTTTCATACAAAATAGTATAGAAAAAAAAGCTCAACTGACAAAATCAAATGTATGTGGTCTAATTTACAAGTGTGCCATTTACAAAATGCATGCTCTTTTTTTTGGCACTGGGGATTGAACTCAGGACCTTGTGTTTGCCAGGAAGGCACTGAGCATGCTCTTTTTGAACACTGGTTTATTTGTTTGAAAAAAGTATTATTACTTACATTTCAACAGTGTGAGGATTTTTTTTTTAAAAAAGAAAAAGGCCTGGTTTCTTAAAATGCTCAGTAACAACAGCAATTACTACAGTAGTTTCTTTTACACTCTAGGGTAAATTCAAGTTGTGTACTTAAAGTCCATGTTCCTAGGCGCTGGGGATTTAGCTCAGCGGCAAAAGCGCCTGCCTGGCAAGCGCAAGGTCGTGAGTTCGGTTCCCGGTACCGGAGAAAAACCAAAAAAAAAAAAAAAACAAAAACAAACAAAAAAAAGTCCATGTTCATGCACAGTTTAACAGTTTTCTGTGAAGGGACTACTTAGGGTTATCATTCATTGTTGTCCTGGAATTAGAATGGTCACTCCAAAATTTCTTAAACTTTCCAATCAAACTATCTTAGATCAGTGTTGTCAACTTTGACAGTCCTCTAGAGTTATGTAGTAAAGCTTTGAAAATTAC